TTTCTTTTTAAAAATGACAACGTACATTCTAATTTTTCCTCAATTCAGTTCCACAGAGACGTTCATGAGGTCGGTGCTGGAGCTCTTTGCCAAAGAACCTTCAGTCTTCCGGAAGGGAAGGTGGAGCTCAAACAACCAAGCTCACCGAAGGATCACCATTTCTCTTCGGGGGAGATCTTTAGATATCATGCCTTACCCAGCAGAGTTCAGTGCAAAATTTCCCAGACCGTTTTAGGTTGAAACTTGCAGATTGACAGTCCTACCCTAAAGAGATAGATCCAGTTCATCAGCCGTGTTAGTCTGAAGGAGTACAACAAAGTTTAGAGTCCTGTGGGGGCACCTTTAAGACCAACAAAGGTTTATTCAAGGGGTGAGCTTTCGTGTGCAAATCTCAAATACGTTAGAATGGCAGTAGAGCTTCAAAATTACAGCCAGGGAACGAACAGCAAATGAACATGCAATATGATGGTGATCAAGATATGCAAAGTGACACTAGATAACAAGTTACGGTTTAGTGTCACTTTGCATATCTTGATCATCATCATATTGCATGTTAATTTGCTGTTCGTTCTCTGGCTATAAGTTTGAGCAACTTTTGCCATTCTACGTATTAGATAAAGTGTGCCTTGCACACGAAAGCTCATCCCTTGAACAAACCCCTTATTAGTCTTAAAGGTGCCACGGGGCTCTAAGTTTGTTGTACTCAGGGGTCATTTCCTGCAGGAGCGCACAGGAGCGGAGCTCCAGCAGTAAAGAGCCCAGGGGGCGGGCACATGCAACAAGCCCCACCCCCTGCTCCCAGCAGCCCTCAGCCAGAGCAAGAAGCAGCCAGGTAGGTTGCAGAACACATGCAACAAGCCCCACCCCCTGCTCCCAGCAGCCCTCAGTCAGAGCAAGCAGCAGCCAGGTAAGTTGCAGAGCACATGCAACAAGCCCCCCCCCCTGCTCCCAGCCGCCCTCAGCCCGAGCAAGAAGCAGCCAAGTAAGTTGCAGAACACATGCAACAAGCCCCACCCCCTGCTCCCAGCAGCCCTCAGCCCGAGCAAGAAG